ACAAATTGGGATAATCAGTCTGATTTCTCCTATCCTAGTTCCTTGAGAAAAAAATGTAATTTTGTACCCATTTGGCTTGGATATGTCAATGCAGAAGCACATGAAGAGCAGAGCCAGTAGTTCCAGTTCTTATAACGTACCTAAGTAAATCAGGACTAATTAAATTAAATTCCTGGGCCCATTTTTTAATACAAAATAAATATGTTATTTCCCTCTGAAGTTTCCATACTCTGTTAGGGCAGAACAGAGAGCAATGAACTTGTTTTGATGTAAAAAAATGAGTAAAACCAAAGACAGGATCAGATTTGCTGACTAAAAATATCTACAGAAGAAAAAAACCTGGCACCTGATCCAAGGGGAAGTAATAAATGCATAGCTGCTGTGGAGTGATAATGGAGTACACCCACAGAAATGATTGCAAAGTGAATCTTATAATCAAAAAACTTAATTCAGATCCCAGGGATTTCGATTAAAATGAACTTGAAGAGAATGTCTAATGATTTGGTACTGATATTACTTCAATTAGTGGGAAGTGTAAGAAACAAAAGGAATAAAATACTTTTAATCTGAAAGAAGGAGAGCTTCCTGGGGTGTGGAGAAGGAGGATACATGCTGGAACCATGATAAAGTTTCCCTGTGAGGAATAATGAGTTAGTGAACCTTTTTCAAGTATACCACTTTTCTTTTTGAAGCTAATATTTGCCTTGTCGTAACAGAGTTTCACAGTCACTACAAAGTGCTTATTCCTTTATTGCTGGGCATACAGTACAGTCAGTCGTGCACCTAAATGAATACATGGATATCTTTCTGTTGCCTTTTAAAGTGTGATCTGTAATGATAAATGAGTTTTGGGGCTCTGCTTGGCACAAGGGGTTGACAGAAATCTGCTAGAGCTGCTTTTCCCTGGCAGAGACATTTATAATTTAGCCTTCACCTAGTGGTGCCTGAGAACTATTCTACCCAAACCCAGTCTGGAGCTGAAATTCCAGGTGACTGCAACTGGTTGAATTACCATGGGTTCTGATCATCCCTCCTTTTTTCAACAGTGTTTTTTCTGCAGCCCTGACAAACCAAAGCCTCATCTGAGAGTTCTAGTGAAAAGGCAAAATCATACCCTGCAAACATGTGTTATACTATTGTGAATCTATCTAGAGCTTTTAGTCTAGAGTAATAGACAATATTAGTATTCTGCTGCAGCTTTCAATGTATTTCATTCAGACTATACAGATATAATCACAGGAACTAACCAACAGTATGTAGATATAAACTTATTGCCTTTGTTAATGAAGGTACTACTACACTTAAATCCTAGTGATCCATTCCCTAACCTCCTGGCAAAAGGGGGATTTGCTTTCATCAAATGAGATTATCCTATCTGACATAGCTACTGGAACACCACTGTAAAGGTGCTCAGAGTTCCCCTGCTGTGGTTTGGATGGTAAATAAGATCCTCAGCTCTCCTTGAAGAAGGTGAGACAGAGAACACAGAGCACCACAGAGTAACAGAAAAAGAGCAGTGGATCCACACTCGTATGATGTCTTAACACACAAGAAACAGGGAGCAGATAAAACTGGATAGCTTATGTGGAGAAATCTCATTTTACTATTCTGTTGGAGAGAAACAATAATCCAGAGAGCAGATCACACCTTTCCTATTCAATGAGCAGTAGCACACAAAAGTTGCTTCATAGTATCAGCACCCAGTTGGCTGAAAGCTATGGATTGCTAAAATCTGTCTGGAAATACAAGGAATCAAAGGACAATATTAATATGGTCCTAGAGAGACATAGGCAATGTGGAGTACATAGTTACTTTCAGCAATTTTGAGGCATCATTTTGGGGGAAAATGGCACATGGAATTCAGCATTGTGATGAATGGCTATAAAACAGAAGGGATGTGAAAAAGCTGGAGCAGGACTATGAGAAGAATTCCTGCAAATCTGGCATTATGTGATAAACATCCTGTACTCTACAGCAAAGTGCTCTAAAAAATCTCATGCTATGAAAAAACTTAACTAAGATGCAGACTTGAACTTCCCATAGGTAACATTTATATTGCTAACGATCATCAGTATGTTTCAATTTAACACTAATTTAAATAGAAATAAAATGTTTGCTTTGAATACTTCAGTCCTGAGCTACAACCACAATTCATTTTTCTAATTCTGCAAAGAGAATCCACCCACCTTTACTAGATGAGTGTGTTCCAGAGCCTAATCTTCCACTGAAAAAAACTTTCTAGGCCTTGTGGTTGCAAAGCTAATCCTGAAAACATGAACTGCCTGTACACAAAGAAGTCTGCCCAAGCATGAAGAAGGCCCAGCAAAACAAGTTGGAAGGAAAGAAAAGTCTGAAACCAGAAATTCAAATTTCTATTGATTTAATCATATCCCAACAATATGTTGTTCAGTTTTACTCATAAAAATGTAAAAATATGCTTCAAAGGTTGTGTTTAGCACTGAAGGGAGACAACACGTTTTTGTATGCAGCATGTGATGGTTCCTTGTTCATAGAATCACAGAATTTAAGGGTTGGAATGGACCTTACAGATCATCCAGTCCCAACCCCCTGCCCTGGGCAGGGACACCTCCCACCAGAGCAGGTTGCTCAAGGCTCAGCCAACCTGGCTGTGAACACTGCCAGGGTTGGGGCAGCCACAGCCTCCCTGGGCAACCTGGACCAGTGTCTCACCACCCTCATACAGTTCTCCCTTTTCCATTTTGCACTCTTGCCCAGGGACAGCTAGTCTAGTGCATGTCACACATATTGTATTTATTGGAATGTTTGCTGTCCCACCAGCTTAGCTCCATCTGATGCACTTGAAAATAAAACTGTCTTGAAGTTTAAATCAATTTTAGCTCCATAAAGAGTCCCAGGTCTGGATCTAACTGCCTTCAACAATTCGGCAAAATTAGGTTTTAGAAGCTTTGGAGAGGCTTGGTTTGGCTTATAATTGTTACTCCATAGTGTGTCATTTGACTTCATCGTTGAAGGACATGGAACTGTTGCAGGAAGTTCAGAGGAAGCCATGAGGTTGATAGGAGGCCTGGAGCATCTCCCCTGTGAGGACAGGCTGAGGGAGTTGGGGCTGTTGAGCCTGGAGAAGAGAAGGTTGTGTGGAGACCTCAGAGCACCTTCCAGGAGCTGAAGGGGCTCCAGGGAAGCTGCAGAGGGATCTGTGTTAGGAGCTGCAGGGACAGGACAAGGGGCAATGGGCACAAATTGAAAGAGGGAAATTTAGGTTAGATATTAGGAGAAAGGTTTTTCCTATGAGGGTGGTGAGACACTATGCCAGGTTGCCCAGGGAGGCTGTGGCTGGCAGTGTTCACAGCCAGGTTGGATGAGCCTTGAGCAACCTGCTCTGGTGGGAGGTGTCCCTGCCCAGGGGAAAGGGTTGGGACTACATGGTCTGTAATGCCTATTCCAACCCCTAAAATTCTATGATTCTATGATTTTCTGTGTTCCTCTCAAGGAAATAAAAACATCTTCAAATTTAGATAGTACCATCCAAATATTGTGTTTTAGCATTCATTCAGTAATGTAAATCTAATGACTGCACAGTAGTAATACATAGTTAATTATCCAGTAGCCAACTTTAATTCCTGCCTTTAAGAATGTGCCCCCTGTTTATATATGTGGGATACAACACCCACTAGGATGTTGATGAAAAGTTCATGTATCCAACTTTGATGTTATCAAAGTTACATACTTGGCTCACATATTTGATATTTTCATTTCAAATCTAATGTTTTCTAGTTGCAACCATTTTAACAGGAGTTGATAAGAGCATATGAACTGCTGGGCTATATCACACAAAGAACTCATCTGACCTCTTATTCAATATCCTACCCCTGAAAAAGGCTCAGTAGGAAAGACGTAGAGAAGAATATGAAAAAAATAGCAGTACAAGAGTGATTTTGGTGGTTTAGTGACTTTGTTTTCAAAAAAACCTATTCACAGTGGCTGAAAAATCCCTTGAGTGGAAATATCCAAGTTAAGGCTCAGTACTTGGTATGGATTCAATAATTTTTCATCTATTACAGACATTGAATGTAATCTGCCGTTTTACTGTCAGCACCAGTAAAGGGAGATCTTCTGTGACTCTGCACCCAGTTTTGACTATCCTGAATAACTTTGTATCCTGTATTTTGTATGTACACTTGCCATCAAAGCTTTGTTCAAAGTCACGTTCAAAGCTTTAACATCTCTACTAGAACTATTACTATTTATATTCTAATTCATCACAACTGTGCACACGAATCACTGTACTCATGTTTGTTATGCAAACACCAATCTAAACCCCAACCACTCACTCACATCTTTCCAGTGCCTTTCCAATGTCTTTTCCAATCCTTTCTGGTGCCTCGAAGTACAACCCACATGCATGCATGATGCTAGTCCTTTAAAAAGCAATATGGAATGAATTATCTATACACAATATTTTCTTCACACACTTCAGAGTCTGGCAGGGAATACTGTCGTGAGGATGTACAAATGTACACAGTGGTACATTTACAATTGCAAGAATCTACTTGCGTGCAGCATCAGAATTTGGCTCTGAGGTATTTCATTATGAACTCTGAGTTCTGTTTTGACAGCTTGGCTCTGGGACGTGGTAATTGCAACCATTCATGCCAGGGTTGAGTTGGATGTTCATTATTCAGTACTGGTGGCTGATGCACAATGGTAAACAAGCTTTTAACAATACAAGTTACTATTACAACAGCACAAGGTCAACACTTCAGTTTAAACTTTCACCCTCTGTGCTTCTAAAGTAACAGCCACTTCCTAGATTTGCTCAGTACTAAGGAGATTGTTAAAGCATGAAGAACCCAAGGTTACAATGGCTGTGTCCAAGACAAGAAAGAGCTAGAATATGCTTGAGGTATGGAGAATCCAAGGTTACAATGGCTGTGTTGAAGACAAGAAATAACTACAACTGTGACATACTTGCTAGGTTACTGTGTAAGTATTCTGATCGTTTCGTATCTTCTCTTTAGCTCCTTGCTCAGAAGTGGCCTTTTGGAGATACAGAATTTGGACAGTTTCTTTGCAAATTCCTTCCCTTTATCCAGAAGGCATCGGTGGGAATCACAGTCCTTAACCTCTGCGCACTCAGTGTGGACAGGTACAGTATGTTTTGCTCTTCACACAGTTCTTGCCCTTGCAGTTCTCCCAAATCTGGGAGCACTCAGTAGGGTCTTCTTTGCAGGCAGATTACAGTAGAGATGTAACTCAGATACTGGGATATCCTGGCTGTAACAAAGCACCACAGTTCTGGCTCAAAGTATAATATTAACTTATTGGATTAAAGAACTTTACATGTTTTGAAAGGTACTTAAAAGCTCTAGTGAAACATTATTTCAACTTCCTTTACCTGACAAAATTTATTGAGATTTGATTCAGTATTCAGACTTCTTTCTCTCATATGACCTCATGTTTGGTTTACATTTGAACAGGACCATAATCTTTAGACTTCAAAGTCATTATTTTCAACTCACTTCCTATGGATTCCAGGAAAACCTGCAATAATAAAACTTAAGAGCTGGTGTGACTAGTTGGTGGGTATTTGTTCATTCAGTGCTGGGTGTGTGGAGGATGCTCCTCCTAACACACATCCCAACTATCCAAACTTTTTACTGTTTATACATTTCAGAAGACAACGAAATTAGTGCTCATTGGTCACAAGTTGCCTAACTCTTATTAATTAGTATCCTATCTTCTACTGGTTAGTGATTCTCTCGCTTCTTATCCTAATTAGTCCACTTTTGGGTCAGTGGCTTCTTGAGGATCTTCCATGGGGTTTTAGATGATCTTTGGTGGTCCCTTGTGGTTGTTGAAAAGATGTCCATTAGTGTCCTTTGCATGAACTTTGAATCTTCCTTCCATATATGGTCTTGGCTTAGCTCGTTATCTTGTTTGCTGTTATAAAGTTCCTTATCTTGGTCTGGGTTGACTTCTGCTGGCTCCTCTGCACTGCTCCAGGATGAGCTGGCCACAGGTGTGAGAATTTATGTCCTTGGGTGCATTCTTGTCTGAGGCTCCTTATAACAACTCCCCTTTGAGGCTTACTCAGACAGTTAGCCTTAGATAAGTTCCTTTCACCTTTTGCAATGTAATGGAGAAGTTTGAAAGCAACAGAACTATTGAAAGTCATATATGATGAGGGTGCAAATGGTACAAAGCTGTAACAATGTAATGTGAGGCACGTTTATTTTTCTTTCTGTGCATTCTAGGCCTGTAAAGCCATAGAAGGAGTTAAATATGTCATTCCAAAGGGCTAACATAGAAACAGGGAGCTGTGCTCATAGATCCTCTGGTATCACTATGGACCAAAATTATAGGGGGTTTTTTGACAAATTTGATAACTCCTTGAGTTTTATTAAGAAACATGTTGGAAATCTTGCTTTGATAGTTCGAAAACTAATGCCTCTGCTATTTTTTCTTCATACATATAATGCAATAGCAGATCAACACTTGACTCCTGCAGAAGTTGTTTTTATTGGTCTTGAGTTCACTTGATTGTGTTGTAAGCCAAACTATCAGTACCTCTGATACAGAAAATATTGCTAAATAAAATACACTACGTGTATTAGTATGGTGATGCAAAGGTAAAGGAAATATTAAAATTAATCCTGGCTTGGTTTGACAAAAAATGTTAATATACAAGGTTTGCACTGGATGAGTCAGTAGTATCCATACTTGAAATACACTTCCTTACTGCATTGATGCCTCATTAGCAGAAGCGAGAAACAAAAAAAATGCAACATGGGCAAACACTCTATTTCCATTTTTGAGTCTGAGAACTATAAAAAGAATTCTATTTCTCAAACAATACCTGCCCAGCATAAAATCACACAGACCACTCTAAAGAATCAATCATAGGTCAGGCACATGAAACAGAGTTTGTTAGATAAATTCTGACAACTGCAGTTTCACTAGATGAAGTTCTACTGTTATATAGACTAGACTTGTAGAATCATAGAATCAGCCAGGTTGGAAAAGAACTCCAAGATATTCAAGTCCACCTCTACCGTGGTCACCAGACCATGGCACTAAGTGCCACATCCAGTCTCAGCTTGAAAACCTCCAGGGATGGGGAATCCACCACCTCCCTGGGCAGCACATTCCAATGCCTGAGCACTCTCTCTGTAAAAACTCTCTTCTTAATATCCAATCAAACCCCCTCCTGGCAGAGCTTGAGTCTGTGCCCTCTTGTCCTGCTGCTGGTTGCCTGGGAGAAGAGACCAACCCCCACCTGACTCCAACCTCCTGTCAGGGAGTTGTAGAAGGTTATAAGGTATACATTTCCATGATATACATTTCCATAAATTGGAAGTAACTTAGCCAAAACCACCTCTTTGTATATGCATATATACAATTTAACAAGGACTGATTTGCTAATCCTCACAACAACCAAGTGTTGTTTTCATTTGGATATAAAGTCTTGTATGGGATCTGACTCAGACTATTTAATTTCCTCCCCCATCTTACATTCTTTGCCAAGGACATATTCTTCTTTATCATCTGGTGCTACTTTAGTAAATGGCTGTAGAGGATGTGTGTTAGCAAACAGACGTATACAGCCAGATTCTGATATTGGCTAACATGAACTGAATCACTATGAAATCTGAGAGTACCTTCAACAAGTTTGGTTGGGCACTGGAAGTGGCACATGGATACAAAATTCCACATTAACTAATGGTTGCCTTTTAGTAGGGAAAATGAATAAATATGGAATAGTGTACTGTCACAGCTGGACTGTTCCTGGTCTACAGGCTTTAAAAAAGTTCCTACAAACAATCTCATTATCATTATTTTGGGTGTCTATGTAGGGAATTTCATTCTAGCACATAGAGAAAGATGGAGTCAATTGGTATAATGAATTCAGAGCTCCACAGGTTTGATAATTGTTGACTCTCTGTCCCTCTTGCAGAGTACAGCCTTAATTTAGAACAGGATTAGGTTTTTTTTCCCT